TTGAGATGTAATCCATACCGAAGGCTGTGCTCTTAAATCTTCATCAGTAAATGTTTTAAGTCCTCTTCACTTTCAGCAAGCAAGGTTGTATATCATCTGCATATTGCAGGTTGTTAACTGTTTCAAGAGGTAGCATATGGGTGTATGTGTGTGTGTCAGGGGGAGACAGTGATGAGCTGTGAATGGTGACACATGAACATAGCATCATTCTGGATACGTTATCAGGATTTGCTCCCCAGTTCTTCTTAGCAAGGGAGCCCTGGTGACACAGTGGTTAAGGCACTCGGCTGCTAACCAATTCAAAGGAGAAAAATGTGGCGGTCTACTACCTTAAAGATCTACAGCCATGGAAACCCATTGGGACAGTTCTACTCTGTCCTGTAGGGTCACTATGAAGTAGAGTTGACACAATGGCAGTAGATTCAGGAATGAGTCCTCTTAGCAGAGTTTGAGGAAAAGGACATTGTCTGGGTAAGTTTGGGTTCACAAGCAAGGAAAGCTGATGCTCTGGGGCAGGGGACCGTGACTATTGCTTCAGCTTTCATTATTTTCCTGGTGTCTTTCTCCCTCCACCCTACCAACCCCAGGTCCTGCACAATTACTACTACCGAGGGTACGAGGATACAGTTTTATACTTAAGGCGGCTGAGTAAGTACCACATGGGGTCCTGGAGGGAGGGGAAGCTTGGGTGAACTCCATTTAGTGAACTGCAGGTGTCTTTGACCAGGAGAGCTGGACATGGGTGCAGAGAACTGACAGTCTGTGCAGTCCAGGACAGATCACTGTGGTCAGAAGAGAGAGTCTGTAGAACCGGGAACGGTTAACTGATGGATGTCCTGGTTAGCGCTGTGGGTTAATGTGCTGGACTGCAAGGTTAGTTTGAACCACAGGGTCGGTGGTTCAAGCTCACCAGCTGTGCCTTGGAAACTCTATACGGGGTCACTATGGGTAGGAACCAACTCGACAGCCCTTAACAACAAAAATGAACGTATGGGTCAGTGTCTACGGCATTTGTCCAAACACAGTTGGTCCTCATTCTTCACAGATTGCATATTTTCAGTTTGTCTAAAAACCAAGCCAAACCAAATCACTGCCACAGAACCTATTCTGACTCATATCCACTGAATAGGACAGAGTAGAAATGTCCCACATGGTTTCCAAGGCTGTAGTATTTACAGAAGCAGACTGCCACATCTTTCTCCCTCAGACTGGATGGTGGGTTTGAACCACCAACCTTTCAGTTAGTAGTCCAGTGCTTAGCTATCATGCCACCAGTGCCCCTCCTTCAGTTTGCATGAGTGCTAAGATGTATTTGTAACTCTAAGATCCGTACTCGAGACATTTCTGCAGTATGGATTTTGTGCAGAATGGTGAAGAATTTGAGTCAGCAGATGTGCACATTCCAACTGAGGTCAGAGGAGGTGCTACTCTGCCCTCTTGTTTTAGTATACTGTAAACAAGTGTCATTTTGGTACCACATTTTTCACATGTTTGTGCTTTTTATTAGTGGTTTCACAGTTTAAAAAGGCCCCGAGGCGAAGGTGCTATCTAGTGTTTCTAAGCACAAGAAGGCTGTGATGTGCCTTATAAAGAAAATATGTGTGTTAGGTAAAGTTTGTGTGGACATGAGTTAAATACAGCGCTGTAGGCAGTGAGCGCAAAGTTAATGAATCAACGCAACAGGTAGTCCCCGTTCTGACGACTCCTCTATATGTCAGTTCTGACATAAATTGAACACATCATTTTATTTTTTTAGTTTTCATTGTTATTACCTTTTATTATCAGTGTCTTTGTAAATCCAATCTTATTTGTCTTTGGGGGTTGGAAACACTACATATAGACTTGCAGATATATCCTAATACATTGCTGCTGTTATTAAGTGCTGTCTAGTTGATTCTGACTTATAGCTGTATAGCTATACTATACTTATAGCTGTATAGGGTTTCTTAGGCTATAAATCTTTGCAGGAGCAGAAAGCCTCAACTTTCTCCCTCAGAACAGCATGTATGCTCAAACCGCCGACCTTGTGGTCCATAGTCCAGGGCTTCTTCTCCAGAGTAACATACATATATAAAAGAGTACACAAATCATAAAATCATAAAAATTTACTCTACGAATGAAATTGATGGTACAAATGCTGAATAAGATCACACACTATAGGCCTGGTCTGTGGAGTCCTAGTGTGGCTGTGTAGGATAAGCACTGAACTGATAAATCACAAGATCTGCAATTGAAACCCACCCGCTATTCCTCGGAAATCCTCTACAGGGTCAAAATGCATCAAAACTGTTTTGACAGCACTTAACAGCAAGAGCAACAATAGACTTTGTCTACAGTGAAGTCAGAATCCTAGTGGTTATTGGGCAGGTGAACTGTTCAGTGGTCCTATGTCACTCAAGTTGAACATTACCCAGCTTTCTACCCTTATCACTCCTGACCCTGACCCTGACTTCATTGTAGACCAGGCCACAGCCTGCTACATGGCATTGTTTTCAGTAGTAAATCATAGCAGTGAACATCTGCAAATGAACATCTGAGAATCATAACATCAAAAAATTATGTCTGAAACATTGTATGTAGTACATAATACTAACGATAAAATGTACCCCAAAAGCAAAACAACAGATGGTCATAAGTGCAGTTCATCATAACTTAAATCTGTTGTAAGTTGGGGACTTACATGTTTATATTAAATAAAGTATTTTTAAAAAGAAACACACACAAAACTAGGTAACATTATTGATTGATTGGTGAACATGATGTGACCGCAGGCTTGCAGGAGCCTGACCCTGCATTTTCTCTAGGTGCAACTGTTCAGAATTCCTGATTTAGTGTTCTCATGACTTTATAGAGCATAACCACTGTGAATAAGGAGGACCAACTATATATTTACAGATTTTAAAACTATACTTGTGAGCACAGTGTATCTGTAAGATAAACACTGGACTATGAACCATAAGGTTGGTGGTTTGAATCCACCAGCTGCTCCGTGGGAGAAAGATGAAGCTTTCTGCTGCCACAAACACTTACAGCTTTGAAAACCCTATACAGAGTCAGTAGGAGTCAGAACCGACTACATGGCACTTAACAACAACAACAAACTACACTTGGGAAATATATAGCTCATATCTCCCTGGAGAATCTCAGTTTTGTGTCATATTATTCTCTTCCATAAATCCATATTGTTAGAACTAGTGTGATTAGTTTTTATTTGGTTAGAGCTTTGAGTGATAAATCAGTCAACAAATCAAAGAGAAGGAAACTTGACCTGCATTTAATTTGAAAAACATGGTCCCCACTACTGTATGCCCTGTATTATCAAGACTAAAGAAATGAATCCAGAGAAATGTATTAAGCACTTCAGTACAGCTGTGGCAAACATCTTTTTAAAAGGGGGGGAAATGTTTTTTTCATATTTAATGCTAACACCTTAGAACATAGTCCCAGAAAAATTAATTGCTGGATCAAAGTGTGTTTACCTAATGTTTTAAGCTAGTTTCCATGTTGCCATGTGACTTCATAACTGTCCTTATGACAGTTGTATGATATTCTGCCAAGGAACTTTATGGTAAACCTTGTTAATTTCTTTGGGCTCTCTTTGGGTTCCCAAGTGTTCACTGTTATAAATAATGTGAATTTTTGTACATGGACAATGAATAAAGAAGATCTTAGAAGAATTGATTCATTTGAGTTATAATGTTGGAGGAGAATATTAAAAGTACCATGCGCTGTCAGCAAAATAAACAAATCTGTGTTGGAAGAAATACAGCCAGAATGCTTCTTAGAACCCAGGATGACCAGACTTGGTCTCTCATACTTCGGACATATTATCAGGAGAGACCAGTCCTTGGAGAAGGATATCATACTTAGTAAAGTGGAGGGTCGGTGAAAAAGAGGAAGACCCAATGAGATTGACTGGTACAGTGGCAGCAGGAATGTGCTCAAGCCTAGCTGCGATTATGAGGAAGAAGCAGGAGACCGGCAGTGTTTCTTTCTGATGTGCATAAGATTGCTAATGAGTTGGTACCAAAAGCGCTTAACAACAGGGTTTTAAAAATACCTTGAAGATGAGATAAAGGGGTTGAATGAAATTTTTCTCCCCTAGGATATGCTCTCCCCCCCCCTTTTTTTTTAATCCCTTCAAAATATTTTCTCTGTCTTGTTACTTTCTCTTGATTCCTTTCTCCCAACAAGGGGGCAGGGAAAGGCAGGAGAGCAGGTTGGAGAAGACATGGACTCTGGGAGCAAGTAGTACTGAATTGGGATCTCTATCTCTCCAAGCTGTGTGACCTCAGGAAAATCACTTCCCCTCTCTGAGTCTAGGCTGCCTAATCTGTAAAGAGATTCCAATTGGATTCAGGACTTTCTTGTTAGAAGTATTTGAGATAGAAAGATAAATGCTCAAGGCAATAAACTGGTTGGAAGCCCTGTGAAATTCTAAAGATGGTATCTCTGGCACCCATTCAAAAACTGAAGAGGTATATGAGGGGTGGAGGATTTCCCCTGGAATCACTCAAAGTAGGAACAGACATCAACTAGAAGGAAGAAAATGCCTTGTCCTGACTATCAGTTTCTTTTGTTTACTCTTTTTTTTTTTTTTTTTTTTTAATTAAATGTTTTTATTTTGCACTGAGTGAAAGTTTACAGGGCACATCATCAGCTTCACATTCAACCATTCATATAGCTTGTTTCATTACATTGATTATTATCCCCTCCATATATCATCAGTTTACAGTGTTTCTCTCTATCCTCTTTAGCTTTTTTTTTTTTGGATGGGGGGCACTTGCCTTTTTGGAATTTACAGTCTCGACTTTTAGGGAAGGTTTTTACATTTGTCTGTGGATATCCAGGGCTCATGTATGAGATTACTAACAAGCATTACTGAATAATCAGATGAGGGACAGTTTGCTATGTCTACTAGGTAGCTAGAGTCTGATCCTCAGAGCCTATGGTTTGGACGGTCAACAACGCTTGGGCGCACAGGGGCTTGGCCTCCTGACCTCTTTTGTTTACTCTTACAGTTTGACTTCCCAGTCCAGGTTTCACCTTGGGCTTGGTGGGGCTGGATTTTACTCCTAAACACCAGAGGAAACAGGAGATCTTGGTGCACCCTTCAAAAAATTGCTATTGGTGCCCAGAGCCACACTTTAACTCCCCACCTGCCATCTGGGAACAGAAGGGGTCTGCTACAGCCCACAGTCCCTGTCTGCATGCCTTTGGATGGGCATCAGCTGCAGCCTGAAGTCACACCCTCAGGGTGTTACCTCACCTCACATCGTCTTTCTTTCCCAAGAACTCTCATCCACCTAATTAATTATTCCTGCTTCCAGGCAAGCCACCCTCTCCACCTTGACCCCTGCCATCTCCACCCCCAGCAGCAGCCTTCTGCCAAAGGGAAGGGCTCAGCTAGCAGTCCTACCTGAAAATCCACATTCCCACACAGGCCTGCAAACTTGGGTGTTGAGTGCATTAGGAACTCTGGAGGTGCCAGGTCTACAATACATGTGGGGCCAGACCTTCCTTTCCTCCCTCACTTCCTTCTCTCCATTCTCTTCTTCCCTTCCTCCCTCTCACAATTTGATACATTTTGACTTTATATTTACCTGTGAAACCAGACCACAGTCAAGACAATGAACAATCCATCAACCCAAAGGGTTTCCTCCTGCCTCTTTGTGATCCTTCCACACTCCCATTTCTACCATCCCCACTACATCCCCAAGCAATCCCAGTTCTTTTTTCCCCAATCACTGGAGTCCTGGTGTGGTGCTGTGGGTTAATGTGCCAGACTGCAAAGCCATTTGAACTGCAAAGTCAGAGGTTCAAGCTCATCAGCTGCTCCTTGGAAATCCAATACAGGGTCGCTATGGGTCAGAATCAACTCGAAGGCACTTAACAACAACAACAACATATAGATTACTGGTATGGTACTGTGGGCTAATGTGCCAGACTGCAATGTCATTTGAACTGTAAGGTTGGTGGTTCAAGCTCCTTGGAAACCCCATACAGGGTTACTATGTGTTGGAATCGACTCAACGGCACTTAAAAACAACAACAACCCATAGATTACTGGAGTCCTGGTATGGCACTGTAGGATAAGCACCGGACCACAAGGCCGGTTTGAACTACAAGGTCAGTGGTTCAAACTCATCAGCCACTCCTTGGAAGTCCTATACTGAGTCGCTATAAATCAGAACCAACTGAGCAGAACTTAACAACAACATAGATTTCACGTAAAGGAACTCTTGCTGTATGCATAATCATTTTGAAATTCATCCATCTTATTGCATATGCACAGCTTACTCCTTTTTATGGTTGAGTGGCATTACATTATATGGACTTACCACAGTTCATGTATCCGTTCATCTGTTGATGAACGGATACATCACTTTTTTCACTTGTTTCCAGTTTGGGGCTATTATAAATAAAGCAACTGTGAATATGCATGCATAAATCTTTTAATGGGCATGTTTTAATTTCGCCAAAAATCCTCACCACTGGACCAATAAACAACATTCTTGATTGAAGTCATCAAGGACTTCATTCTTCTTGGATCAACTATCAACACTCATGGAAGCAGCAGTCAAGAAATCAAACAATGTAGTGCATTAGGCAAATCTGCTGCACAAGACCTTTTTCAGGTGTTGAAGAGCAAAGATGTCAGCTTGAGGACTAAGGTGCGCCTGACCCAAGCCATGGTATTTTTAATAGCCTCATATGCATGTGAAAGCTGAACAGTGAATAAGGAAGACTGTAGAAGAATTGATGCTTTTGAGTTATGGTGTTGGAGAAGAATATTGAAATTGCCATGGGCTGCCAAAAGAATCAATAGAACTGTTTTGGAAGAAGTGCAGCCTGAGTGCTCCTTAGAGGCCAAGATGGCCAAACTTTGTCTCTCATACTTCAGACATATTGTCAGGAGGGACCAGTCACTGGAGAAGGAAATCATGTTTGGTAAGGTGGAGGGTCAGAGAAAAAGAGGAAGACACCCCCAATGAGACGGATTGGCCAAGAGGCAGTATCGATGGACTCAAGCGTGGCAACAGTAGTTAGGTTGGCCCAGGATTGGGCAGTGTTTCGTTCTGCTGTGCATAAGGTCGCTATGAGTCAGTACCGACTCGATGGCACCTAACAAGAAGAACAACAAAACCTAGGAGTAGAGTGAATTGATCACAGGATAGATATATGTTTAACTAGTTAAGAAACTGCTAAAGTGTTTTCCAAAGTGGTTACACCATTTCACATTCCCACCAGAAACTGGATCAAAGATCCAGTTGTTCCACATTTCTTGCCAACACTTGGTATGATGAGCCTTTATAAATTTTAACCATTCTAAAAAGGAGCTCTGGTAGTGTAGTGGTTACAAATTGGGCTGTGAACCACAGGGTCAGCAGCTCGAAACTACCAGCTGCTCCGCAGGAGAAAGATGAGGCTTTCTGCTCCCATAAAGATTTATAGCCTCGGAAACCCTGTTCAGGGTCTCTATGGGTCGGAACCGACTCAACGACACTTAACAACAACAACAACAATGGGTGTATGGTAGAATTTTGTTGTAGTTTTCATTGTGTTTATATAATGACTAGGAGTACTGGTGTGGCACTGTAGGATAAGTACTGGACTACTGACCACAAGGTCGGCAGTTCAAAACCACCAGCTTCTCCTTAGAAGCCCTACACAGGGTTTCTGTGAGTCAGAACCAATGCAATGGCACTTAACAACAACAATAACTAAGCAGAAGTCCCAGTGGCATAGTAGGTTAAGCTGAGTTGCTAGCCCAAAGATCATCAGTTCAAAACCACTAAAGATGAGACTATCTGCTCCCACAAAGATTTACAGTCTCAGAAACCTTATGGACAAGTTCTACTTAGTCCTATAGAGTCAGTATAAGTCAGAACCAACTTGACAGTTTGCTTCAGTATTTAATAACTAAGGATGCTGAGCATTTTTTCATTTGCTTATTTGCCATCCATGTCTTTTAAATTCATTTGCCTATTTCTCTCCAGATTTTCAATAAGCTTTATTTTTAGAACAGTTTTAGATTTACAGAAAAATTGTCTACACTACAGTGTAAATATATCAGAAACCATCATGTTTGCTTTTGTTTTCCCTCATTCTCAATGCCTGGTACAATGCCTCTGTGTATAAATGTTTAGGGGAATAGATGAGTTACTACGAGAGTAAGCAAAAAAGTATTGCTAATTAGGGTTCCAGTTCATACATAATGTACAAGTTTATTCCAGACAAAATGTGTTTAAATAAGTCTTTACAATCAGTGGGCGGCTGCAGACAAGTTCTCTCAGTAAGTACCCTTGTCTTAGTCTCATTGTTATTAAGTGCTGTCAAGTTGGTTTGGACTCATAGAGACCCTATGTACAACAGAAGGAAATACTGCCTGGTCCTGCTTCACCCTCACTAAACTGCTGCTAAACCTGAGCTCATTGCTGCTGCCACTTTGCCAATCTATCTCTTTGGGGGTCTTCCTCTTTTTCTCTGTCCCTCTGCTTTACCGTTCATCATGTTCTTCTCCAGCAACTGGTCCCTCCTGATAACATGTCTGAAGAATGAGAGACAAAGTCTGGCCATCCTGGCTTCTAAGGAGCATTGTGGTTGTACTTCTTCCAACACAGATTTGTTTGTTCTTCTGGCAGTCCATGGTACTTTCAATATTCTCCTCCAACACCACAACTCTAATGTATCAACTCTTCTGTGGTCTTCCTTATTCATTGCCCAACTTTCCCACTCATAAACAGCTATTGAAAATACCATGGCTTGGCTCAGCACACTGTAGTCCTCAAACTGACATCTTTGTTTTTGAACACTTTACAGAGAGGTCTTGTGCAGCAGATTTGCCTAATGCAATAGTCTCATTGTTGTTGTTGTTGTTAAGTGCCGTCGAGTCGGTTCCGACCCATAGCGACCCTGTACAGGGTTTCCGAGGGTGTAAATCTTTACAGGAGTAGAAAGCCTCATCTTTCTCCCGCCGGAGCGGCTGGTAGTTTCGAACCGCTGACCTTAAGGTTTGCAGCCCGATTCGTAACCACTACGCTACCAGAGCTCCTCATTAGGGAGCCTTAAACAACCACAACAAAATAATCAAATCAAAACAGTGACTTGCTAGGGGATCTGTTGGGTCAGTTATATTCAAGGTAGAGTGGTCAACTCAGAAGGTTATGAAGACTGCTTTTTGAGATTCCAAAAGGGGTAATCTTGATAGATTTTTTTGAAGGACACAGGTCAATCACAGGGGCTTATAATGAAGAAATTTTCTAAAAATTGGAAACGGCATAGGTGAGGAAAAGACTGACTCGAGGAATTTGGTTTTCATCACAACAATGCACCTGCTCGTTCTTTAAAGGTAAAAGGGCTGTCCTATGAGAATTGCATTGGGAAACCTACCCCATTCACCCTACAACACAGATCTTGCCCTATCATACTTCTTTTTGTTCCCCAAACTCAAAGAACAAGGGATACAATTTAAGTCCCTCAAAAATGTCCCAAACTGCCATTTTGACGTGTTATAAATCAAAAAGAGGGCAGAATTCTTTAAGGAAAGGTTAGGAAGATGGAAACACTGCCTTCAGGAGTGGATAGACCTAGATGGGGGATCTATCAAGAAACAATACCTTTGCATTTTGATCATTTTGTTTAATAATCTATGATTTTGTAGCAATGCTTTTTGACTTACCCCTGTACACAATCAGATACTCAATCTAAATTCAAGTATGTTGTTGCTGTTGAGTGCCATCAAGTCAGTTCCGAACTCACAGTCACCCGGTATAGGGTTTCCTAGGAGTGACTGGTAGGTTTGAACTGCTGACCTTCTGGTGAGCAGTCCAGTGCTTATCCTACAGCGCCACACCAACTCTCCAAATTCATGTATATTTAAGTTTAAAATCAAGTTGGAAAACACTAATCCCGCTCCTGAAAGTAATCTGGAAAAGCATTATTAGCACAATCAGCAAATGCCATGCTGATGCTAGGGGTTATTAAATGCCATTTATGGTCCCATGTTGTGTCTTTCCTAGATGCTGCTTATATTAATTCTCCTTCCAAGAGAGTGATTTTCCCCCGGGTAGAAGTATACTGCCAGATCGAACTCGCCCTCGGTAGTGAGTGCCCGGGACAGCCATGCCACCAAGCAGAGCAGACTGATGTGGAAGAAGCCATGCAACTTCACACCCATTGGGCTCCCAAAGGGGATGGGAAGGGTGGCCATAGTCCACTCATGTCCACACCCATGCAGACTCCTGAACCCACATGTGAGTCACCAGATTCTGCACCTGTATCTTCATTCGAGCCCCCACCTGCACCGCCGCAGGTCTCATCATCTTCACATTCTCCAACTGACTTAGCACCCCCAGCTGAGCAATTACTGCCTAGCTTAACACCTGACTCATCACTCGCCCTCACACCACCTGAGCTGTCACCTGTGTTACCACAGAAGCAGGAACAACCCTCTGGACCACCTTGCAGACCTCCATCTTCTGAGTTATCCTCCTCACCCAGACCACACCTGGGGACTTCAACCGTGAAAGCACTTCAAACAGCACCCCAATGTTCTCCTTCAGCATCACCTGTAGAGGAACTGGACCCAGAACAACCTCAAGGTATGGACCCTCATGGCTTCTCATGGGTTTTTTTCATCTGCGTAACAACACTGTGATCCATAGTCATTGCTTCAGAGGGGTAGATTTGTAAGATTAGCAAAGCTTGCTCTAGCCACTTTGCCTGTTATGAGGACAGGCCACCACCAGGAGGCAGTATACTTGAGATTTGCTCATTCCTCCAGTCCAAAGATTTTCAAAGTGTTCCTCTAACTAGACACAACAGCATCACCTGGGAACTTGTTAGAAATGAAAATTCTCAGGTCCCACTGAAGACCTACTGAACCCAGGACTTGCAGTGAGGCCCAGGAGTTTGTCTTTGTCATAAATCCTCCAGGTGATTCACACACTCACATTTGAGAACAGCTGTTTTCGTTGTACTGAATGCCTCTCTGTGAAAATCACTGTGCTAGGTCCATGCTACCCAAAGAGTGGTCCATGAGCTGACTGATGCCAGTCCCTAAAGTATTGTCACTAGTTCATGACAAGAGGCAAGCAGATAGTGATAACAAGCACTTAGAAAACATTTTGCCACTGCTTCCAAGAGCTTCATCTTTTTTTTTTAGTAATTCATTTGTATTGTTCTTCACAAAAGCATTAGTCCATTGTAGATTGGAAAATAAATTTTATTTTTATGAAAGTCCAACTGGCTCTTCACTACTAGTGTGTGCTCTTAAGAGGACTCAGTAGAGAGACTGCAAAGATAACTGTTCTTGATTCCGCATTCTCAGATCTCCCCTCTAGTAGAGGAGATGGCATGGATACCAACCTCAAACATACAAGATTTATCAGTATCACATACTCAACAAAGCAGACAGCTGTGGACGATTTATAAAGGAGACTAAGATCACTTCTCTCTGGGGGAACAAGGAAGGCTTCTTGGAGGAGTGACAGGCTCATTGAAATGCACAGGGTTCTGGCCACTGGGGTTTGTGGGATTGAATGTGAGTAGAAAGTGCACTTCAGATTTTGCTTATTTTAGAGACACAGTTGCAGAATTGTTGTTGTTAAGTGCCATCAAGTCAGTTCTGACCAATAGCAACCTTGTATAGGGCTTCCAAGGAGCCACTGGTGGGCTTGAACTGCCAACCTTACAGTTCAAACCAACCTTGCAGTCCAGTGCATTAACCCACAGTGCCACACCAGGTCTCCACAGTTGCAGAGTAGGAAAGTGCAATTCATATTCAGGATGAAGAGGATTCCTGTTTGACATCTGTGGATGGTCTAAGTGAGGGCAGAGGGAGAGGTACCCCTGTAGGGGACTAAAGCCAGGTTGAAGAGCACCCTCATGGTCCATCAGCCAAGCTTCCCTAGATGTGGTCAACAGCAGCACAGATTAGCAAGGTTTCCCTGTTTAAGAATCTGCCCCAACCCAGGAGTGACCCCCTTATAGGTTTGCCTGTGATTCTTTCCATCACCCAAACCAAGCCCACTGCCACACGTCAATTCCAACCCATAGTGATCTACAATGGCAGAATAGTACGGCTCCATTTGGGTTTCTGAGGCTGTAAATCTTTATGGAAGCAGACGGCCCCATCGTTCTTCCATGGAGCAGCTGGTGGGTTCGAACTGCTGACCTTTCAGTTAGAAGCCCAATGCTTAGCCCACTATGCCACCAGGACTCCTCTTTTCATCACAATGATGACAAAAAACATGAGAACATTAAGAGTCAGAAGATTGACTCAAGTGTCTCACATCCTCTTTTATTTCCTGTTAAATGCACTGCATTTATTTTGTACGACACCTGTGCCATTTATGTTCCGGTGTCTGAGCAATCCTGGTGCTCCTCTTCCCTGTTTGCCTTCACTTGTGTTGGGGTAGACAGAGGGGACCGATAGCCCAGGGATTCTCAGTTTGGTGTGAACTCCCCACCCCACCCAGCAGACATCTGGCAGGTCCGGAGGCGTTTTTGGTTGTCACAACTTCTAGAGTCACCACAACCAACTCTGTGCTACTGACAACCAGCAAGCAGCAGCAACAGCATCACCTGGGAACTTGTTAGAGATGAAAATCCTCAGAGCCCACCACAGACCCACTAGTCAGAATCTCTAGTAGGCAGGGAGGCTGCTAAGCAGCCTACAATGCACAGACAACAAAAAATTATCGGGCCCTGAATGTCAATAGGGCTGAGGTTGAGAAACAGTAATAACCTAAAGCTGGCTTCAGCAGTAACCTTTCAGAGCATCATGGGACTTCAGCAGAGCAGAGCCGTCCCAAGGTGTGTTCTCATTGGCCATTTAGTGATCCTCATGAGGGTGGAAAAGAAAAGGCAAAAAAATCCTGAGAAAATCCATAAAGGAAGGAAGAGGCTTCACTGGAAACAGATTTGGAAGAAGTGGGGCCATCCGACAGTCTTCCAAATCAAGAAATTTCAGAGAGGGATCCAAATATATTCTAGATTATATTTATTTACATAAATATGGATTGAATAAATATATATAAATATTCATTTATATCATATCCCCATATAATGAAACATGCAAAAATATCACTTAAGAATTAAGTTATTAATATTTTTGGTGTGGCACTGTAGGATAAGCACTGAACTGCTCAAGTGAGCAATTCAACCCCACCAGCCGATCCTTGGAAACCTTACACAGAGTCACTGTGAGTCAGAAGTGACTCCATAGCACTTAACAACAACAACATTCCAATTTTAAAAATCGTGCAGGTGATGGGAGATTCAGGCTCCTGTTTTCCAACAAATGATCCCTAACATGATTCTTTTTATGAGGGAGTTCTTTATAATAGGATATCAGGGTCAGTCTGGTCCTCTCACAGATACGGCTGCACTAGGTCTCAATCAAACCTGATGCTAGTCCTAAGTATGAAAGTTTGAGAAGGAAAGAATTACTTACTGTTGTTAAACACACTTGCATATTTTAAGACTGATCCAGTATTCCTCCCCTGCCCTCTTCTCACTTGTCTCTCCTATAATTTTACTTTTAACTGTAGCTCCCCTTGCCTCTTCAAATCCCCAAAGTGCCACACCTCTGGTTAATATGAAGGAAATCATCTGCAAGCCTTGTGTGATGTAAGTGTCTTCTTCACTGGAAACTTGTACTTTTCCTTTGGCCAGAGGTAAGAGCCAGGATTCAGGGTTGGGGGAGGCCCAGCTGACTGATGTTTGCCATCTCTTTTGCTGCTCCTGGTAACAATGAGATCATGTTCTACTTTGTGGGATTACAGTCCACCCTTTACATTTCACAGACCACAACCACACCTCGTTTTTTTCTTTCTTTAGTGTGAAAACAGCGTGGTCAATGAACCTCTTCATGCTAACAACATCATTCTAGTCCACCCCTCCTCTGCACACTGGGGAAGGCATCTTCTTCTTTTTAAAACGTTTTATTGTGAATGGAGTGAAGGTTTACAGACAAGACCATCAGTTTTACATTCAACAAATTATACACTTTGTTTCATCTCAATGATTGCGATCCCCTCCATGCAACAACAGTTGTCCCACTTTCTCCCAGTGGTCCCTAGTTCCATCCCACCTTCCTTTCTAACCCTTCTGAACATTGTCCTTAGGTAATTGTTGCCCTTTTCATCTTGAATGGTTAACCACTCCATGATGAGCATACCTAGTGTCGTTGTCCCCCACTTTGTATTATTTACCGCTTGGCTGAAAATTTGGCCACAGGGGTGAATTCTGGGACTGCATCCTCTTTAAGCTCAGTGGAGACTGTGTTCCTTCTCTTTGTTCCCTCTGTCATATTTTACTCTCAGGTCCAGATAATTAGCAGGCATTCCACATCCGATCCTTAGATATCCTCCGTATCTCAGGATGAGTTGAAGGGCTTGATCAAAATACTCACCACTCATCTGGCAGTTTATCATAGTGCAGTGGCTTGTGTGTTGCTGTGATTCTGGAAGCTATGCCACGAATATTTTAAATACCAGCAGGGTCACCATGGTGGACAGGTTTCAGACAAAGACAGACTAGGAAGAAGGATAAGAAGACTACTTCTGAATATTTAGTCACTGAAAACCTTATGAATAGCAGTGGAACACTGTCAACAACAGAATATTGAATCATGATGAAGAGCACCAGAATACTGTCAGACATAGTGCCGGAAGATGAGCCCCTCAAGTTGAAAGGCACTCAAAATACGACTGGGGAAGAGCTGCTTCCTTAAAGTAGTGTTGACAGTGATGACACAAATAGAATAAAGCCTTCATGACCTTCATTTGCTTGCTGGGCACAACTCAAAATGAAGAGAAACATCCATTAATAATGGGAACACAGAATGTAGGAAGTATGAATCTAGGAAAATTGGAAATTGTCAAAATGACATGGAATACATAAACATAGATATCCTAGTCATTCATGAAATTAAATGGGCTGGTATTGGCCATTTTGATTCTGACAATCTCATGGTTTACTCTACCAGGAATGACAAATTGTGGAGAAATGGTGCCACATTCATCATCAAAAATAACATATCAACATTATCTTAAAGTTCAATACTATCTGTGATGGGATAATATCCATATATCTATAAGTTAGACCAGTTAATACCACTATTATTCAAATTTATGCACCAATCACTAAAGCCAGTGATGATGAAATTGAAGAATTCTATCAATTTCTTCAGTTTGAAATTTATCAAACATGCAATCAAAATGTATTGATAATTACTGGCAATTGGAATGTAAAGGTTGGAAACAAAGAGGAAGGATCAGTAGTTAGAAAATATGACGTTGGTGATAGAAACGATGCTGGAGATCACATGATGGACTTTTTCAAGATCAATGACTTCTTCAGGGCAAATACCTTTTGAAACAACATGAAAGATGACTTTACATATGGACCTTACCAGGTGGAATACACAGAAATAAAATTGACTACATCTGTGGAAAGAAACCGTGGAAAAGCTCCATATCATCAGCCAAAACAAGGCCAGGGGCAGACTGTGGAACAGACCATCAATTGCTCAGATGCAAGTTCAGGTTGAAGCTGAAAAAATTAAAACAAGTCCATGCGAGCCAAAATATGACATTTTACATATCCCACCTGAGTTTAGAAATCACCTGAAGAACAGATTTGATGCATTAAACATTAAAGACCAAAGACCAGAAGAGTTGTGGGGTGACATCAAGAACATTATACATGAAGAAAGCAAAAGGCCATTAAGAAGACAAGAGAGAAGGAAAAGACTAAAATGGATGTCAGAAGAGACTCTGAAATTTGCTCTCCAGTGTAGAGATGCTAAAGCAAATGGAACTAATGAGGATGTAAAGAGCTGTATAGAAAATTTCAAAAGGCAGCTCGAGAAGATAAAGGCAAATATTATAACAAATTGGGCAAAGACCTGGAGTTAGAAAACTGAAAAGAAAGAATATGCTCAACATTCCTCAAGCTGAGGGAGTTGAAGGAAAAATTCAAGCCTCGACTTGTAATATTGAAGGATTCTATGGGAAAAAAATATTAAATGATGCAGAAAGCATGGAAGGAATACACAGAGTCATTGTACTAAAAAGAAATTATTGATGTTCAACCATTTCAAGAAGTAGCAAATGATCAAGAGCCAATGATACTGAGGAATAAGTCCAACGTGCATTGAAGGCATTGGCAAAGAACAAAGATCCTGGAATTGATGGAATACAAATGGAAATCTTTCAACAAACTAACAAAGTACTGAAGGCACTCACTCAACTATAGTTTGGAAGACAACTACCTGGCCAACTGACTGGAAGAGATCCATAATTGTGTGCATTTCAAAGAGAGGTGACTCAACGGAATGCAGAAATCATAGGACAATATCATCAAATTTTGCTGAAGATAATACAAAAATGCCTGGAGCCATATATTGGCAGAGAACTTCCAGAGGTTCAAACTGGATTCAGAAGAGGACATGATATGAGGGACATCATTGCTGATGTCAGATGGGTCTTGGTTAAAAGCAGAGAATACCAGAAAGATGTTTACCTGTGCTTTATTGACTACACAAAGGCTTTTGATTATCTGGATCATGATAAGCTATGGACAACACTGAGGAGAATGAGTATTCTGAAGCACTTAATTGTGCTCATGAGAAACCTGTACATAGACCAAGAGGCAGTTGTTTAAACAGAACAAGGGAACACTGAATGGTTTATAATAAGGAAATGTGTGTGCCAGGGTTGTATTCTTTCACCATACTTGTTCAATTTGTATGCTGAGCACAAAATCCAAGAAACTGGATTGTATGAAGAAAAAATGTGACATCAGGATTGGAGGAAAACTCATTAACATTCAATATGCAAATGATGTACTCTTGCCTACTGAAAACGAAAAGGACTTAAAATACGTACTGATGAAGATCAAAGACCATAGCCTTTGGTGTGGGTTGCACCTCAATGTTAAAAAACAAAAATCCTCACCACTGGATCAATCAACAACATCCATATCAATGGAGAGAAGATTGAAGTTGTCAAAGACTTCATTTTGCTCAGATCAACCATCAACACTCATGGAAACAGCAGTCAAGAAACCAAACGACATATTGCATTGGGCAAATTGCTGTTCAAGATCTCTGTAAAGTGTTCAAGAGCAAAGTTTGAGGACTAAGGTGTGTCTGACCCAGACCATGGTATTTTCAATAACCTCATATGCATGTGAGAGTTGGACAGTGAATGGAGAAGACCATAGAAGAATTGATGCATTTGAGTTGCGGTGTTGGAGGAGAACATTAAAAGTACTATGGACTGCTAAAAGAACAAATAAATCTATGTTGGAAGAAGTACAGCCAGAATCATCCTTGGAAGCCAGACTAGCCAGATTTCGTCTCTCATACTTCAAACATATTATCATGAGGGACCAGTCCCTGGAGAAGGATATCATGTTGGGTAAAGTGGAGGGTTGGAGAAAAAGAGGAAGAAGACCCCAGTGAGATGGATTCACACAGTGGCAGCAGCAAAGAGCTCAAACGTAGCAACAATTATAAGGTTGGCACAAGACCAGGCAGTGTTTTGTACTGTTGTGCATAGGGTCACTATGAGTTGGTACCAACAACAATTGTTGTTAAGTGCTGTTGAGTCAGTTCCTACCCATAGCGAACCTGTATAGGGTTTCCAAGGAGCGGTTGGTGAGCTTGAATCGCCAATCTTACAGTTCAAAGGATTTTGCAGTCCAGCTCATTAACCCACAGCGCCACAGCAGGACTCCTAACAACAACAATATAAAAATACCAGTTGTCAGAACTCATTGCCACCCCCATCTATGCTACATGACCATAGTTGAACTGCACTCAATAGGGTTTTTGAGGTTGTCACTTTTCAGAAGCACATGACCAGCCCTTTCTTCCAGGATACCTCTGAGTGAGTCTGCACCACCAACCTTTCAGTTAATAGTTGAGTGATTAACTCTTTGTGCCTCCCAGGGCACAAACTTAACAACAATCTTATAGAAACAGACTGTCACACCTTTCTTCCGTGCAGCGGCTGGTGGATTCAAATTGCTACCTTTCAGTTAGCAGCCAAGTGCTTACTCACTGAACCACCAGGGCTCCTTCCCGCATAAGACCTCTAATATTTCTATGTCAGAGATTATTCCTAGAGAATCTTTCTTACGTTGTTGTTGTTGTTGAGTCGGTTCCAATTCACAGCGACACTGTATAGAGTTTCCAAGAAGCAGTTGGTAGATTTGAACCACAGACCTTGAGGTTTAACCCGGCCTGTAGTCTAGTGCTTATCCTACAACACCACACCAGGACTCCATCTTTCTTATAAGGCACATCAGTTGTCTGGGGTCTAGAACATACACATTTTACTGCACTTTGTAGATAGTGTGTTGTTTTACAAACTGAAGACTTGTGTCAAACTTGTGCCAAGCAAATCTACCGGCACAATTTTTCCATAGCAAGTGCTCACGTTGTGTTTCTATGTCATGTTTTGGTAATTCTCACAATAATTCCAACTGCTTTATATTGCTTTTACATGTTTAATAGACTATAACCAAAACCCCAGTGCCATCGAATTGATTGGCTCATTGTTGTTGTTGATGTGTGCTGTGGAGTCGGTTCCAACTCATTAGTGACCCTGTATAGGGTTTCCAAGGCTGTAAATCTTTACAGGAGCAGAAAGCCTCATCTTTCTCCCGCGGAACAGCTGGTAGTTTCAAACTGCTGACCTTGCAGTTCACAGCCCGATTCATAACCACTACACCACCAGAGCTCCTTGACTCATAGCGACCCAATAAAACAGAGCAGAACTTCTCCACGAGGCTTCTGGCCTGTAATTCTTTATAGAAGCAGATTGCCTCATCTTCCTCCCATGGAACAACTGATGGGTTTGAACTGCTGACCTTTCTGTTAGTAACGCAAATGCTTAACCCACTGTACTACCAGGGCTTCTTACTAGACTTTGTTGTTGTTGTTAAGTGCCATCAAGTCAGTTCTGACTCATAGTGATGCTGTATAGGGTTTCCGAGGAGCAGTTGGCAGATTTGAACCACTGACCTTTTGGTTAGCAATCCAGTGCTTATCCTACAGTGCCACACCAAGACTGCTTAATAGACTATGTGGTTGTTTTGTGCCATCGAGTCAATTCCGACTCATAGTGACCCCATACAGGGTTTCTGAGGAGCACCTGGTGGGTTTGGACTGCCTACCTTGTGATGGCTGTTGTTCTGACTCATAGCGACCCTGTATAGGGCTTTCAAGAAGTGGCTGGTGAGCTTGAACCACTGACCTTGCATTTCAAACCAACATTGCAGTTCAATGCCTTAACCCACAATGCCACATCAGGACTGCTTGTGATTAGCCCAGTGCTATCCTACAGCATCAAACTAGGACTCCTTAATAGACCATGTTGTTGTTAAGTGCCATTGAGTTGGCTCTGACCCACAGTGACTCTATATAGGGTTTTCGAGGAGTAGCTGGTGAGTTTGAACCACTGACCTTGCAGTTCAAATGGCTTTGCAGTCTGGTGCATTAACCCACAGCGCCACACCAGGACTCCTAATAGGCTATAGCATAGCGTAAACATAACTTTTACATGTACTGGGAAACCAAAATGTTTGTGCCATCCACTTTACTGTGATAATCACTTTACTGCATTGGTCTAGAATTGAATCTACAGTCTCTCCAGGGTATGCCTATAATCCATTATTATCTTTAAAGTAATTATGAAAAGGCCTGAAGAACTGTACTTTTTTCAGTTCCCTGGAGACTGAATTATTGGATACCAGTTGGGTTAGCCAATGTAAGGTACCAGCAGAGGATCAGAGGGTCCCTCCTTGGCCAGAAGATTCAAAACCCAAACCAAACCACTACTACCGAGTCGGTTCTGACTCGTGTAGGGCAGAATTGAACTATTCCTTTTGGGCTTCCAAGACTGCAAATCTTTAAGGGAGTATCTTTCTCCCATGGAGACCAAAGGGTTAGACAAGAAGAAATGTGTGGTACTCCTCCCTGCCACCCTATCCCTCGTGCCTTGGGATGATTCTGGTAGTGGCCAGATTTCTGTGAGGCGGGAATTGCAGGAACTGGGAGAGGAAGACCTGAGACATTCCCACTTCACAGCACATCAAATATATTAAAATATACCTGCTTCCCACATAAAGTGTACATTTTACTATAAAACTGTTTAAAGGGTTTGTATAAATTTAATGATGTTAAGCTGAGGCATAAATTACGCATTTTGGTCACTTAATTTAAGTGTTATTGCATTTATATATATTACTATAAAAAAGTTTAATTGAGTTTCAGTTGATTGGTTGGCATGATGTTACTTAGATATTCATTGATTATTAAAATAAAAAGGTCCTCTAGGAACTTTGATGCTCATCTAGGGTTGAGCACCGCAGCACTGATGTGTCTGCCTTCTGAGATGGAGCAGGGACTTACATCACGGACACGGGACCAGTGTCTCCAGGGTTGGTGTCACCTTCCCCCCATGGACCTCTTCCTGTGTCAGACTATACAGAATCCTTAATAACAGTTATGACCCATTTTAATCCATTTTAATAACATGTGACAAAGATAGCTGTAAATTGCTTAAACATAGTATTTCTTAGATCATATGAATACTAACAAAATAGTTTTGTGAAATCTTTTTACATTGAATTACAGCATTATTAGTTACATCATTAGTAACTGAGTAGGAACCATTTAAAATATTATTTCCTTCTTATTCTTTATTACTACTTTATTCTCAAGAAAATTAGTGACATAGGTTCACTAATAGCGCACGTTGTTACTGTTAAATGCCCTTGAGTTGGTCCTGACTCATACGGACCATCCTGTATAGGGTTTCCAAGGAGAAGCTAGTGGGTATGAACCACTGACTGCTCAGTTAGCAGTCCAGTGCTTGTCCTACAGAGCACATTAGAAGGTTCAAAAAGAAAATTAGCATGGAGTTTTAGCCTTGTCGGTTTATTGATGCCTGTAAGCTGGTCTTATGAGAAATGATTTTGTTGTTATAATTAACTACAGGTTGTACTAAATAAAAAGGAGCTCTGGTAGCATAGTGGTTACAAATCGGGCTGTGAACCTCAGGGTCAGCAGTTCGAAACTACCAGCTGTTCTGTGGGAGAAAGATGAGGATTTCTGCTCCCATAAAGATCTACAGCCTCAGAAACCCTGTACAGGGTCACTATGAGTTGGAACTGACCCCACGGTACATAACAACAACAAACAACATACTAAATAAAAAATGTAAAGACAATCATTTGGTGTCACCCGGTACAATATGCACCCCCACAGCTCCCTAGTGATGTCACTGCACGGGACAGACTGTTAACAAACCTCCATTTCATCTCCTTCCAGGGAGATCCCTGCTGAAGACTCAAACTGGGTGACCAAGATGTTCAAGAAGAGCAAACAAAAGACAAATGGCACTAGGAAAGGCTTCTCAAGACATCTACGATGCAAAAAATCAAGTGGCAGAGAGCAGTGAGTGTGACCAATGTTTCCTAAGTTCCACAGGGAATGGTTTTCAGAAGGGTTTCCAGGAGCAAAGCAGGAATCAGTATGAGGTGGGGGTTTAGGAGTTTGGATTTTGAAATAAGACACACCTGGCATAAAAACCTTATACTGCCACCTTCTGGCTCAGTGATCATGGTTAGGACGCTTGGTCTTTTTGAGCCTCTGTTTTCTGATCCATAAACTGGGGCTGATACCAACTCACAAGTTGTTATGAGGGTAAAAGGAAATCAACTATGTACATTGTTTAGCAGAGGGTAGGATATGTAGATTAGTAGGTGTTGTGGATCTGTAATACCCCCAGATGTTAATTTTTTACCTTTCAGCTTCTGAACAGAAACCGTACTTAAAAATCAAACTAGACAGGTGGATAGGTTCATGACCCTCAACAAGTAGAACTCCAAACTGATGCAAACTTAAATTAAAAGCCCTAATCCGTGGAGGTCTGCTTCTTATAGCTCTTTGACTCTATAATATTGCCATTGATTTAATCAGGTAACATTTTTTGTGCACCTACTAAATAAATACCAGGTGTTCTACTAACTCTGGGGATAACTAAACTTGATCCCCGACTTTCAAGAGTTTATCCCAAATTGACCTTTAGACCAAAGATAAGGATAAGCATACTAATCTGATAAACTTGGAACCTCACCTAAAACAAATCTCAATTTTATACTGAACATTGTTAATGAAGTTACAGACACACATACGCGCATACTCACAAATTCAAACTGCCAGCCTCAAAAGCAAATCAAGCCAGGTAATTTTGAGCTTATTATTTGAGCTTGAGCATAAATTATGCATTTTGTCCAAATGATTTAAACTTTATTGCAATCACATATTATTGGGAAGGGTTTAAATTGTGTTTTAGTTAATTAGTTGGTATGGTGTACGCTTATTTCACTGAATTACCAACATGCTCTCTGAATAGAACAGACCCATGCTGTTATTGAATTTGCTTCAAGCCTTTATTAATCAGAAAGATCCCTAAATCACTCTAGGCAACATTCTTCCCAGTTGTTCCTGTCCCTGCTGGGGTCCTGGGGAGACATGTGTTTGAAAGAATGATGGTCAAAGAGTCACCTGGGAGCCAAAGGCTCACTTCAGAGTCTGGGCAAGTAGGTACTTGGTGGGTGGTGGGAAGTAGGATGGTAGATAGGTGATTTTCAGGGCAGATGCAGGAAGTGGACAGACGCAGGTGTCTCTTTCTGGAGTAAAGGATGGGCAGAGAAGGTGCAGGACCCAGTGGATAGTGAGAGGTCCCTGGTGTGTGTGGGGGGGTGGGGGGGGGCCATAGGATTAATGCAGTAGGGGATTATTCTTACTTTGTTCCCTGGTCTCTAGCCCCAGAACGGTCCGGACTGTTGAGTTTCTACCTCTGTTCATGGGACTTTAACAGATCTCTTATGACTGCGGGCACTGAACATCATATGGGAGAGCCAGGCCCTAACTCAGGTCTCTTGGTTCCAGGGCCAGCTCTTTCCATTACATCAGAGTGCTGGGAACGATACATTTCAGCTGGAGCTACCTTGGCTAATGAACTTCTAGGTGTGAAGGTGCTTCATAAAGAAATAGAATAACACTCATAAACTGTGGGAAGTGCTGTTGTCATTGGGTCACACATCCTGCACCAGGCATGTGCTTATCTTTGGCTTTCCATTATACGAGAGATTATGAAAGTGACTAGAGGCCATTTACCATTGAATGATCTTGTGCAATTCCAAATCCATTACTTTGAGCTTCAAAGGCCAGGTGACCAGTTGCAGTGGCGGTGACTCCTACTCATGGGAACTCCATGTGTGTCAGAGTAGAACTGTACTCTGTAGGATTTTCAGTGGTGGGTGTTTCAGAACACGATCACCAGGCTTTTCTTCCAAGGCAATTCTGGGTGCACGGAACTACCACCATCTAGCTAGTAACCAAGTACATTAACATTTATACCACCCAGGGACTGCAAGGCCAGATAATGGAGAAGAAAAAACAAACTTATAAAATTTAGGGATGGAGAGTGGGGAGTGATCCAGAGAAAAGACAAATCTGCCCTTTTCCTTTCAAACCAAAACAAGAGACACTGTCACATCCATGGGCTAGTCTGAGGCAAAGTCCTGGGCCCCATCTGATAACCTTGCCGGCAAAGAAGAGAGGGATTAGACTAATAGCTGCACAGTAGATGTCATATATGAATTAACATATGTGTATTTTAAAATCAGATGTTCACGTTTATACTCTGATTTTTATTTTATTCATCATCAGCTATTTAAAAACCAGTTGCTGTCAAGTCAGTTCCAACTCATGACAACCCTATGTGTGTCAGAGTAGAGCTGTGCACATAGGGTTTTCAGTGTCTGGTTTTTCTGAAGTAGATTGCCAGACCTTTCTTCCAAGGAGCCTCTAGATAGAATCAAATCTCTAATCCCATCAATTCTGCTCTGTGCCGTTTCATTCTGGGACCAGCAATTACACTCAATGTACTATTCTCTCAGAAGACTTGGAATTGTGTAACTGATTTCAGAGTGGAGAGACATACTGAGAGACTACTTATAGGCTACCAAAACAAGAAGCCTATCTGCCCCCAAATCCTCCTGATTTCTATCAGATTCTCCATATTTCCATCGTTAGAAAGCTTTTCCTTTGAGTTACTATGGAATTCCCCCTATTCAAATATGAATATAATAAGTAAACATTTTAAAACCAAGCCCATTGCCACTTAGTTGATGACTCACACTCACAGCGACCTTATACGACACTATGAGTAGGACTGCCCCATAGGATTTCCAAGTCTGTCATCTTTACAGAAGCAGACTGCAATGTATTTCTCTCACAGAGTGGCTGGTGGATTCGAACTGCTGGCCTTTCGGTTAGCAACCAAGTACTGAGCATAGTGAGGTTAAGAAACAGGTCCAATAGCACACAATTGGTAGGTGGCAGAGCCAGGATCCCAATCCAGGTTGTCTGTGGCCAGTATCTTGATGTTAAACACTAAGGGGTAAGTCTTCCTGGATAGAAAGAGCACAGGAAAGGGAGTCCGAAATCAGTTTCCAACCCTTATTTACTTTATGGGAGTCCTGGTTTCCTATCTACGTAATAACATGTGCCCTGCCTTAATCCCATGGGTACCTGGAGCTTAGATGAGAAACTGAATATTCAGGCATCCTGTGTAATTCTGGGTGACAAGGCATGTCAGGTTTTTATGACTAGTACCCAGACCTGTGTGGGACATCGGGGATGGGGCGGGGGGCCCCAAGTGGATTCTCCTAAGAGAAGAGCACAGAGGAATGCATAAAAAAAGGGTACAAAGAAACAAGTCACCAACTTTGTGACTCTAGGTCCGGTGAGCCCTAGATGATAGCCCAATACAAGTGCCACTTGAAGAGACATGGCTATTGTTAAATGCTGTTGAGTCAGTTCCGACTCAAAGCAACCCTATATCGGGTTTCTGAGGAGTAGCTGGTGAATTTGAACCACTGACCTTGAGGTTAGCAGTACAGTGCTTATCCTACAGCACCATTAAAAGCACCATTAGTATGTTTTTAAGTTTTATACCTGCGTTCTTTTTAGTATGCGCAATCTTATTGCTTTTTCTGATTACAAAAACAAAAATTTAGAAAAACATAAGAAAATAAAAACTACCAGAAACCATACTGTTCAGCTGTTAATATTTTGGTGTACAGCTTTCTATATTTTCCCATGGGTGCTCACATACACAGCACGCATTTATGGACATCATATCATATATTATGTAGTAATAAGGAGCCCTGGTAGTGTAACTGACTATGAGCTAAGCTGATAACCACAAGCTCAGTAGTTCGAATCTACCAGTCGAGGGAGACAGATGAGGCTTTCTACTCCTGAACATTTACAGCCTTGGAAATCCACTGCAGGGTCACTATGAGTTGGAACTGGTTCAGTGGCATATCACCACCACATATTAATTAATGTGTAACCTGCTTTGTAGCTAAATACATGGTGGTGGTGGTTTTGTGCCATGGAGTTGGTTCTGACTCATAGCGACCCTGTACAGGGTTTCTGAGGCTGTAAATCTTTACAGGAGCAGAAAGCCTCATCTTTCTCCCATGAAACAGCTGGTCGTTTCGAGCTGCTGACCTTAAGATTAGCAGCCTGATTTGTAACCACTATGCTACCAGAACTAAATATATACTCATCATTCATTACAATGTCAAATAAATATAAATCTATTAAGTTTGTAATGATCCCATAATATTCCATTGGTATGAATATGCCATTGTTTATTTAATCAATCCCCTCCTGATGAGTGCTTGTTATTATTGTTGTTGTTAAGTGCCCTTAAGTAGGTTCCCATCCATAGCGACCCTGTTTAGGGTTTCCAAGGAGCAGCTGGTGGGCTTGAACTGCCGACCTTGCAGTTCAAACAATTCTGCAGTCCAGTGCATTAACCCACAGCACCATACCAGGACTCCAGGTTATTTCTATTTTTAGCTACCATCAACATAGTTTTTGATAAATCCTCCTCAAACACAATGTCACAGAGCCAGAAAACAGCAAAGTCTGTGGAAGCCGTTAACCTCAGTTACAAGGATGGCGATAGGTAGAGGCCTGAAGTGCACTTGGAGATGGAACTAGGTCCAGCTGGGTTGGGTTCCATAGTAACAAGGTTTGACTTCAACTGTGGTGCTGGAGGCTCATCACAGAGTTTAAGCAGCTGAACGACATGGTCAAATTTGAAAATGATATGAGTATCTAAGAATATGCAAATTCACATCCCAGCAGTTCTCCAAGGTGGGGCCTGCCTCCAGGTACACACAGAGGCCAAGTGACTTGCTCAAGGTCACACAGCAGGTAGAGATAGAGCTTAGAACTCAGGTCTTCTGTCTCCTTCTTTTGTCTCATCTCTCCTCACATGACTTCTCTCATCCAGGTCTGCCCACTGCCCACTTGACTTCCCTTTGTTGTCTGTTCCTGAGATGACATGGGTCACTTACAGGTGTCATCCCA